AGATGGAGTCTTGCTCTGTCACCCAGGCTGGAGTGCAGTGGCACAATCTCGGCTCACTGCAACCTCCACCTCCCGGGTTCCAGTGATTCTCCTGCCTCAGCCTCCCAAATAGCTGGGATTACAGGTGTCTGCCACCAAGCCCAGCTAATTTTTTGTATTTTTAGTGGAGATGGGGTTTCACCATGTTGGCCAGGCTGGTCTTGAACTCCTGACCTTGAGTGATTCGCCTGCCTTGGCCTCCCAAAATGCTGGGATTACAGGTGTGAGCCACTGACTCCAGCCTTCCCTTTCTATACTCTATACATTAGAAGCAAAGTATTAAGTCTAGCCTGTGCTCAAGGAGAAGGGAATTTCCCTCTTTTAGAGAAGTAATTATCGTATCTTTTGATCGTTATCACAGAAAGAGAAGCCCATCGCTTTTCTTGTGTTTTACAAAACTGATGACTGAGAACATTCATCCAAATGCCTGCCAGATAAAAGGTAAATACAAAACCAACAGGATTCTATTTACTGCCCCATTTTTTTTTTCTCAAAATATAAATCTGGGCTGGGTGCAGTGGCTCACTCTTGCAATCCCAGCAGTTTGGGAGGCCGAGGCGGGCGGACCACCTGAGGTCAAGGAGTTCAAGACCAGCCTGGCCAACATGGCAAAACCCTGTCTCTACTAAAAACACAAAAAATTAGCCGGGCGTGGTGGTGCATGCCTGTAATCCCAGCTACTCGGGAGGCTGAGGCAGGAGAATCGCTTGAGCCTGGCGGGCGGAGGTTGCAGTGAGCCAAGATCGTGCCAAAGCACTGCAGCTGAGCAACAGCAAGACTCTGTCTCGGAAAAAAACAAAAACAATAGGAGTGTATTTACCGCTATTTTTTTCCTCAAAATATAAATCTGTAATCATTTTTCGAACATTGTATTTTTAGGCAATTTATTCCGTGAGCAACAGCGGACGCTCTACTCTATGAATTACATGAATAAATGCTGGGAGATTTATCTAGCTTACTGCAGACCCCACGCAGCACCTCCCCACGAGCCTACGATGAAGATGAGACACTTCCTCTGGATGCTGAAAGTAACCACCTAAGTTCAATACTGGCTTTCTATTTACAGGCACTTTGATTTTAA